AACACCACAGACATGTGCATGCGTGCATAAACATAAACGCACACACGAACAAAGCTGTATTAAGCTCTGTAACGAAATCATCTCTTAGGTCATCGCCAGAAGATGGATGACATTAAGCCCGGCTCGTTGGCCTTTTCCGAGAGACTCACAGAGCTGGAGCAGCTGAGGCGGAGCTCCATGAGAGTGACTCCCCCACACCATCATCATCATCCTCATCCTCATCATTCTCATCATCACCATCATCAGCCCTCCGCTTGTAACACGCGTCAGTCGACGGCAGCGGCCACATTGCACTCGGCCACGTTCTCCAGCCCCGCGCACACCCAGATAGCAACTGGTAAGAACAACAACGTGACGCAAAAGATAGGGGCTCAGATCAAAAGTAAAAGCTGCTTCTGTCAGCAGACTTGATGAAACAATTTTCTGTATCACAACAAAAGCATGCCAGACTCAGATGAATGACACACAGACACAAAAATACATCAAACTTCATCTTTTCTTTTAATCATGTTCCCCATTCCGCGATGTCACACAAACACAAACAGTGTTTGTGTGGCATCGCGGAAGCTCACTGAGGCACTAAACGATGGTATCGTTTCCTCTTCTTGGCCGGGAAATGACGCTGAAAGTGTCAAACTAAAAGTTAACACACGTGCACAATATACGTCTCCAACAAAAAGGGAAGCCACTCATTGTTGTGTAACTTCCAGCCTGTCACACCTCCGGATTATCAAACTGTCAGGGTTGGACGTAATCAATCAATTCAATCAATTTCTCACAACAATTTAACAATATTAATCAATCCATATCAATGTGTAGCACTGTAGTTCTATAAAGGGAAAGCTGGACAGGTGTTTCATTTGGCAAAGATCAATTCTACGACATTCCTAGGAAATCACAACATTCTATCACTGGTGGGCTATTTTTAGAACAGGCCCACACGCTACTCATGTGGTCCTTGGTGGCTACCTTGTGGAATATTTCAAGTGGAATATTTCATCTACCAAAGGTGCGATTTACATTGAAAGTAAAGTCAAACTTGTTTTTTTCAATAATATGTTGTGTGTGGCCCCACAGAAACTTCATATTGTGTTTGTGAAATATGAATTAAGCCGCAAAATTGGCCCATTTTAATCCAGCTCAGGGGGCGGCCATTTTGCCATTTGCTGTTGACTGAAAATGATATCACAGTGCTCGAAGGCCATGGATTGATACATAATGTACTAACCGCTTATTGGCCATCGTGAGAAATGAAGCTACCGGTGGCCATATTGCATTGCCATTCGCTAAGTATGCCTTACTTGAATAATATGATTTCTCCGCAACTTTTCATGTTATTTTCTGTCGCCACCCAATCCCTTCGCCACTGCAATGTCATTTTCAGTCGACAGCAGGTGGCAAAATGACAGGCCTCTGAGGAGGATAAAAGCGGGTGGATTTTGCTGCTTAATTCTTATTCCACAAACACTATTAAACAGAATTCCGTGTTTTGACCATCTTATACTGAAAAAACGATCCTTTGGATTTGAAAATGTACAGTGTACATCGGTTGCACATGGTTAAAATGTCATAAACCAATGGAATTACGGCCATTTTGCCATTTGCTGTTGACTGAAAATGAGATCACAGTGCCCGAAGGCCATGGATTGATATATAATGGACTAACCGCTTATTGGCCATCGTGAGAAATGAAGCTACCGGTGGCCATATTGCATTGCCATTCGCTAAGTATGCCTTACTTGAATAATATGATTTCTCCGCAACGTTTTCATGTTATTTTCTGTCGCCACCCAACCCCTTCGCCACTACGATGTCATTTTCAGTCGACAGCAGGTGGCAAAATGACAGGCCTCTGAGGAGGATAAAAGCGGGTGGATTTTGCTGCTTAATTCTTATTCCACAAACACTATTAAACAGAATTCCGTGTTCTGACTATCATATACTGAAAAAAACGATCCTTTGGATTCGAACATGTACAGTGTACATCGGTTGCACATGGTTAAAATGTCATAAACCAATGGAATTGTCCCGTGTTTTCCTCAAAAGTAAACAAATGATAAGTGTTAGTTTCATACATTTTAATCATGTGCAACTGAAAATCAAGTACTTTTTTTCAGTGCAATCAGGGCACACAGAACATATTATTGGAAAGTAAATATTCAATGTGACTTACCAGTTAAGTGTTGACAATCCAGAAATGAATATTTAAATGATGTGACAAGCAATTAACATTTGTTCATTCTGTCCTTTTTCAGAAGGGCGACAGATGCAGTCATCTCCATCATGGTCCTATGACCAATCCTACCCCTATCTTGGACAGATAAGCACACCTAACATCCACACGACCAATCCCCTTTCACCGAGTCGCTCATCACTAGGCGACCTGTCCTCACGTCTTACAGGTAACACACACGTTTCAAGATTATAATAACACCAAAAGACCCAAATCATAAACCTTGAACCTTGCCCTCATTCAGGTCCCGACCTGACCGCATTTAGTGACCCAAGGATGACCTTGGAACGATCTTTCACCTCTGTCCCCTCCTTGCCAGACACTCGCTTCTCAGACCCGCGTGTGCATTACCCACCCACGGCTGCATTCACCTACACGCCCCCGCACAATCCCGTCACCAACGGCGCCCTCGGCATCACCATGGCGACAGCTATGGCCACCACACCTGCCGGGAGGTATCACACTTACCTGCCGCCTCCATACCCATCAAATACGCCACACCAGGGCCAGAACAGACCCTTCCAGTCCACCTCCTCGCCGTATCACGTGTACTACTCCACGGCTGCGGGCTCGTACCAGTTCTCCATGATGGCCGGGGGAGGTAGCGGTGACGGTCGTTCCCCTCCGAGAATCCTACCGCCTTGCACTAACGCCTCAACAGGCTCCCCACTCCTGCACCCGTCTTTGCCCAGTCAGAATGAGGGCGTAGCTGTAGAGGTGGAGTCCAGTCATAGTAGCTCCCCGGCAAACGCGGAGGCCGTCTGGAGACCTTACTGACGGGAATCAACAAGCATTTTCATCAATGCCAAGTGTGGCTGCGCCATCATCACTAGGTTTTGATGATTGTATGAAGGTCAGCAGCGCTACAGATTTTCAGGACTCTTCAGTCAAAAATGTTTGAGGTCAAAGGTCATATTAGTACTTTTAAATTGTGCAGATGATCTTCAAGCAGATTGTATTATTTCAGATGTTCATTGACTCCAGAGTTAACCAGACTTGTAACTCAGATCACTTGTCTCAAATCAACTTTCCCTCTTAAAATGAATGGAAATGGCATGAATCCATTCCCCCCTCCCCAAAATGCTGTTTTCTTACAAATAATGCTGTCAAGCTGTATCAAATTCACATGTAAATACCTGGAAATAAAAGCTGAAATGTTGTTTTGTTTTCTTAAATCGCCACCCTCTTAAAATAATGGCCTAATCTCTTATATCATGTATGGCATATATTGCTAATGTTTTGATTTGAACCAGTTGAAGAATAACGGCTCCCTCCATGCTTCACTGTAGGTATTGGTGTTGTTTTGGTGATGAGTGTTGTGTTTGCGGCAAACATATCTTTCTTACGGCCCAGAAGTTCTCCATTGGTTACAACAGCCCTTAATAATATAATTTGAGCACATCTCCAGTTACAGTAGTGGTATTCAGAAACAGCTAAAAAAAAAATTGGATTTATTGAAAACAATCATTCGTGGGCAAAACATTTCACAGATGGCTCCAAAGACCTGCAAACCAAATACTGACAGCCTAGTGATCATGGAAGCATTGAATTATAGAAAAACAATATGTTGTTGGCGTCAGGGCAAAACCTCATTTGTCACTTTTTTCTACAATTTTTTGAAGAATTTAAAGTGGTGAAAATGGATTGCGGACTTTGATGATCTAATATTTATGATTGAACAAACATGTCGTTTTTTGGGGGTCTATGTTTTTGATAAAAATGAAAAACATGTTTAAGGTGAGACTGAAAAATGCAAGAATTTAAGACAAGATATACAATAGAAAATAAAATGTCTCCTTTAATTTAGGAATTTGATCCACACTCCAGGCCGGTTGGTCGCGGTAATGCGTATGAACGCTGACCCACCACCATTTTACCAAACAAAGAACAAGACGACGACGAAGAAGAAATGTCGCGTCATTCGTCGAGGCGCCAGGTTTTCAAAACACTGTATTCTCACTTCATTCTGTTTACATGACTTTATCGTTACGTTTTGTATTTAGCGGCCTGACTTGCTCTCTCCACAATGTCTGAAGAGTTGGGCTATTCCCCCAGCTTCAAACGACCGTCGGACATTATGCGAATGCGACGGAAAAGAGCCCGCAGCGAAGCATTTTCCTCGAGCCCAAGTAGTGACACGGGCGGTACTGAGCAAAGTGCCTCTTCCCCGTCGTCGTCGTGTGTCCGACCCTTCACGCCCGGGCCGCTTTTCTTCAACAACCACACACGCTCCGGTGGTGGGATGAAACGCAGGAACCCGTTCGCAAACATTGACAGCAGACACAGCCCAAGGAAGAAACGTAACCTCGGCGGAAAAGGCGACGATGAAGCCGGCGCAGACTTGACAACAAAAAGGGACGACTTGGCTTTCTCCGAACTGTTGAGCAAAGTAGAAGATAACCGACGACAAGAAAACGATAAACAGGTGATTGAGACAAGGCACACATTTTTCATGCGACCTATCTCACGGCACAGCAACAGACAAAATGTCACAAGAAGTAAAGTTTACGGATATGCCCTCGTCCTAATTTATTCACAAACCTACAGTTGCTTTCTAAGTCTAGTTCGTCTGTAAATCGAAAATACCCGTATGTTAAGACATGTGTCCGCATTGAAATGGAAATGCCATTAATCCTTTCCAGCCCCTCATCCCTCATAAAACACCAACAGAATTTGTTACAATGTGAAAAATAGCACTCCACAGGATTGCACTTTATGAAACTACACAGTAATAGCATAATTCAATTCAATGCAATGTAAAGAATTCAACAGTGTTTGCATCATTGTGCGGCTCCTTCTCGTATATTCGCAAGGTTTGGTCAAGGTTTAGTCATATAGAACATTTAAAATAGAGTAAACCCTGCCCTAAGCGAATCACATATTAAAGATAACACGATGAATAACATATAATACAGAAAAACATTACTAATTAAAATAAGTTGGGAATTTCTCCATTGTGAGATAAATAAAGGTTTTCGTATCTTATCTTAAATGAAGCAGAGTCAAGGTTCAGGGGGATATGCACGTTCATTTGCCCTCCTGCCATCTGTTTCAAGAGCATTCACTTTTTCTGTCTCTCACTATACACTGCTAGCATGGATACATAAATGAATAGTGATGCTATATTATCTATAGTATTTAAAATAACTACACTCATAGTTTTGGGACCCATCAAGGACAATTGGGTCATTTCTCTTTTCACACCTGATGACTTCACACAGCAAAACTAATGTGTCAGAGACCCCTGTTTTTGAACTTAAGATTTGATATGTGACCTTGCTTTGCTCCTGCTGTCCATTTCTTCATCTTTCTTTCCCATGCCAGAAAGGTGTTTCTCTCTCTGAAGATGACTCTCTCTTCGAGGAAAGTGAGGAAGATGTTAAATCACCGCTGCTGAAGGTAAATGGGGATAAAATGTCCTACCCTTCCACTATGTTTTATGCAACAGTGCACAGTAATCATGACATGAGATTTTCAGAATGTTTTATCAATACCAGTAGGGTTGCGCGATATATATATTATGGAGATGACGTGGGGTGTGTGTGTGTGTGTGTGTGTGTGTGTGTGTGTGTGTGTGTGTGTGTGTGTGTGCATATCGGGTATTTTTTTCAGAGGGGGATACTATAGCTTATTTTCCTTCGCTAAGTAATGTGTCTGCGCGTATCAGAATATCTTTGGAAAAAAATAAACATGTAGTACATGAAAATCTACCCCCCCCCCCCCCCAAAAAAAATCCAACTGTACTTCACAGATTTCACTTATTGCAGGTACTTTTTGGAATAAAACCCCAGCGATAACCGAGGGAACACTGTATAGATTCCAATTGAATTTTGTTGAGGGACATCAGCATTTTGACGTTCCGGTGCATTTCTGTTAATTGTTTCTCCTGTCTCTCCATCCAGAGCCCACAGGCCATTTCCCCTCTCTCCATAGCAGCCCCTCTGTGCACAGAGTATCCAGCCGACTGGAGCTTGAAGACCCGTCTCCTTTTTACTTCCTCACTGTCGCTGTCTTGGTCTGAGCAGCCCAAAGCTCAAGAGGAAGCCTCTGGGCTCAGCCAGCACTGCCGAGCACAGTTTAGCTCATGGCCGCACAATCTACAGGTACAGCCACCTTACCGTTGTGTCCTAAGGGAGGTTTTGTATTTTGTTCCATTCTGCCACCCTCAGGATTCTAAGTCGTGCACGGAGCTTCGCTGTGCCTTCCAGCAGAGTCTGATCTATTGGCAGCATCCCACCCTGTCTTGGGTGCCACTATTCCCCAGGATCAAGGCTGAGCGCAGATTTACTGGAAAGAGCGCCCCCTGGGCACATGACACAGAACTGCAGCGGTGTCTCATGAGTGAATGGTAAGGATGCATGTCATTTCGGAGTCATCTCACAGCACTCCACCATAAAAAAATGTTACAAAAGTAGTACCTTGATTACAAGTGCCTCAACATATGAATTTTCTGAAGCTTTTTGGGTATTCTTTTATTTGGCAGAGTAAAATGGAGATAACGGATTAATCGTCCTTTAGATTACAAAAATTTATCCATTCAGCGTCTGAATCGTACAATGAAGATTTGAATCACAGGCATAACACCTGACCGTTTTACAATTCCTTCTCCTTTAGTATTTGTTTCACATTAAAACCGAGAGAAAAATCACAGATTTTTGGCAATCTTTGAATTTCCTTATCTTTGCCTTATATTTTAACATATCAATGTGTCCAAAAAATATGCAAAATGTAAAAAGTGCTTATATGTGCTGAATAATCAGTTGGGCCCTAATTATCTGTAGTAAATAAGTCATTGTTTTCGGACTTATTAAGTGAAATTAGTGAATTTTCCACAGCATGCCTGATGATCTCCCAGAGCACAGTAGTTGGGAATCACTGGGCTAAGTTCATGATTCATCGAGTGTTTCACAAATGCACATGAATCAAATAATTTCTGTATGTTTGTGCAGGTCAGCCAGTCTGTCATCACTCTACAGTCTACTAAAGGCCAGACTCTGTCCTTACTTCTATGTCTGCTCCTATCAGGTACTTCTTAGCTTTAATAAATAGCATCTCAATTGCAGATGTGGAGGGGAAGAATAAAGATGTGCTGTTCTGCAATCCTCCCGATTGCAGAACAGCACATCTGGTTAGCGCGTAGGCCTCACAGTGCAGAGGTGCAGGGTTCTTCCTGTGTGGAATTTGCATGTTCTCACCGTGCTTGCGTGGATTTTCTCTGGTTTCCTCTTACATTCCAAAAACATGCATGGCAGGTTAACGGACTACTCAATTGTCCCAAGGTGTGAGTTTGAGCGTGGATGGTTGTTCACCTATGTGTGCCCTGCAATTGGCTGGCAACCAGTTATCCTGCCTACTACCCGAAGACAGCTGGGATAGGCTCCAGCACACCCCACGACGCTTGTGAGGATAGGCGCATCAGAAAATGGATGGATGGATGGATGGATGCTCTGCAATCCTCAGGGCCTGAAGCACTCTGGCACCTTGGCTTACAAGTTTAAATTGTTCTAGACCATACTTGCAACTAGGGCAACAACTACAGTAATGATTATTATAGTAATTGTTTAATTTGGAGGGGTTGTGTGTGTGTGTGTGTGTGTGTGTGTGTGTGTGTGTGTGTGTGTGTGTGTGTGGGTGTGTGTGTGTGTGTGTGTGTGTGTGTGTGTGTGTGTGTGTGTTTGTACACGGTCAGTTCACAGTGTTGTTTCGGGCCGCCGGACTTGGAGGCTCAGGCAGCATGAATGCCCTAATTTCCCCTACGACCAGAGGCCTCCGGGAGGCCATGAAATCTGAAGGTGAGTTATTGCAGAATCCAAAAGGATGTTTGTGTGATTAATTCTTGCCATTATTGATGGTCAGGTATCGAGTTCAGTCTGCCTCTAGTGGAGGAAAGGACGATGAGCAGAGAGGCACCGAATCTTTGCGACGAGGAATGTCAGCAAAAAGAGTGAGATGTGATATTGTACCTTGAGCTTCATTTCTAGGAAAATTAATTTTTGCTTTCCTGAATGAGCATTCGTCTTCTTTTTTTTTTTTTTCAATTTTATTGACAAAAATGTGAAAATTGGGTTCACTGGACAGTTATGCCCTGCCACGAAAAATAAAAAAAAAAATGCAAATAATTGAAGCACCCTGAATAAATTGACAATATTGATATTGTAAAAATGTAAATGTAATGCAAATTCAGCTCCAGTTACACTTTGTCATTTCAAACACATCGTACATGACCATCAATGACATGAAAAACTATGCACTTGTACTACACATGTAGCACAGCAAAAACATACGATAAAAACTTGTGCTATCAATCTGGGCAAAATTTTGCTCTTCTCCAACACAGAAAAATTTTAGTCTCTCAATTCAGATGCATTACTTCATCATACTTGACACCGGTTACTCCTTCTCTTTGTGAGCCAGGGCTTTGGTGCCATCTTGTTGCTTCTTAAGACATTACAGAGAACACAACAAATCTGGATGTCTTCGTTTTCTCATGAATAGCAGAGGATAGGTTCCACAGGAAAAAAAAGAAGCAAATAGCTGAATGGTGAGCCATGAATAGGTGGGACTTCACTGTATTGACTAGCAATAACCTGGGGTTATGAGACTGATCAGTGGGAGGTCGTCAGGGGCTCAAGACAAATAGTCTTGAGATTTTTATTGTTGCCATCACATTTCTGTGCTTAAAAAAATGACTCCTGCAAATATTGTACACTTGATATTTTAGTTAGTGTTTTGGGCTTCCTGCTCTGCCCCTTGTTTTCATTTTGGAGACTACTGGAACGCTGAATTATAGAGTGATCCATCTATCCATCCAACACAGTAGCTGTGAGCACAAAGACGAATTCTGCTCAGATGGCCCTGAAGCTGACGACGACGATGAGGATGGAGAAGGCAGCCTCTCGTGGCTGAAGGAGATGGGAGTCCAGGACAAGATCAAGAAGCCAGACCGCATCAGCGTCCAACTGTATCCTCTAACCCATTATGAAATTAATGGACAACTATTTTAATAATCCAAAAAATCATATAGAGCCATTCTTTTTCTTAAAATCCTCCAAATTCTGTTTACTGCCTCTCAGCAGTAATTTTGTCTGATTTCTGTCATCCTTCATGAAAGCATACTGATTATCGTTTTGTTTAATCAAAAACAAAAAATCCAGGTCCTGAAAGTAAAAACCCTGTCACAGTTTTGCTTTTGGCACTTCAACTCCTGGGGTAGCTTCTTAACCTGCCGGTTGAATAGGAGCACTTGTGGCTAAAGCCCAACTGGGGCAGGTTTTATACTATCTGTCCCTGGATTTGACACCTCTGAATAAGACATTTGCAAAATCTGCTTTTACTTCGGAAAACAATGAAAGAAGCAGTAACTGAATTAGTTTCACAAAGATTGGTATGACAACAATCCCTTTCCTGTGATATTGCTTGATTTTTTTTCCTAATCACTAAACAATACCAAATAAACAGTAATTGGTCAAGAAACAGTTGTAAAAATTTGTTTTGCAATACACTTTATTGCAAAATAAAATTAAGTTCGACTACTTCTCCAGTTTTTCATTACGGTGCCCCCTTTTTCCCCTCGGGTGTCATCCTTAACGGTTTGAGTGCAGTTGCAAGGAGGGCCGAGCGGTGAGCGTGGATCGCAGGCCGGAGTCGGTGGTGTGTGTGGAGGGGCCGCACACATTCACGCTCATCAACTTCCTCATCAACTGCAAGAGCGTGGTAGCAGCGGCTGGGTCTCAGGCCGGGCTACCACCGACAATTCTGGCCCCCATTGCTTTTAGAGGCGCTGCAATGCATTCGCTAAAGGTAAGCGCAGGTGGAAAAAGTACTGCCGCTTTATACTTTAGTTGATACATAATATATTCTGCACTGAAAAATATAGTTAAGTCAATTCTGACCGGCCCTGTGAAGTGTATTTACATTTGTTTCTAAACACAGATAATTACTGGAAACACCTTAAGACGAAGGCCAGATATTTCTTAAAAAAAAAAAATGGTAAACCTAGAATCAGTAAATTCATTAAAGAAAAATCTACATAGGTGCAGAAACAAAGTACAACTCCCACCATTGACCATAAATGACGTGAAATGTCACAACTTGCAATCCCAGCTGATGAGCCCGAATGCGTTTTGATCCTTTCAGGCCCGCTGTGTGAATGTCAAGAGCCAGGTTGGTTCTTCCTACCAGAACACTAGCAGTATGGAGGTAACAGGTCCGTAGCAGACACAGGAGCAGTCCCAAGCCAGAAGGGGAACTGAGACCGTGGGAAACAATGTATCTATTTTTTCCCCCCACTCAGGTCCAATTCTGCCATCTTCTCTGCACGCCATCACAACCCTGCTACGGCCAGCCCAGAAAGGAAACTTCTCGGCCACTCTTTACACACATGCACCCACAGCCATCTTGAACATTCAC